GGTTTGGACCATCCTTTCAGCTAAACCATTGGTAGCCGGGTGATAAGTATTTTCATTTCTGTCGATACAAATGGTGTTCCATTATCTGAAACTAAAGTTTCACACAATCCATGTGTTGCAAACATATTCCTTAAATGTCGAATAACTGTTCCAGAAGTCATATTGTTTACAATAAAAACCTCAGGCCATCTCTTATAGGCATCGACGACAATCAGAAATGTCTTATTTTGAAAAGGTCCGGCAAAGTCTACATTTATTCGAGACCATGGTTTAGTTGGTGTAATCTATTCACAGCTTGTTTTAGGGGGCATGTGCCTGTTTTCTAAACATTTTGAGCATTCACCTACAAAAACTTCAATGTCATGATTCAATTGCGGCTACCAAACGTAACTTCTGGCCAATGCCTTTGTTTGCACGACACCAGTGTGTGTCTTATGTAAGGCACCTAGGCAAGGCTCACGCAACGATGGTGGCACCACTACGCGACAACCAAATAAAATACATTCTTCATGCAATGAGAGTTCAGTACGATGTAACCAATACGGACGCACTTCACTGTCTGTGACTGTCAGGCCAACCGCTTAGTACGTAATGACTTATTCGCGATAAAGTTCGGTCTCTCTTCGTTGCCGATGCTATGAGATCAACATCCACTGGAAAATCAGCAGGCGTCTCCGCCATAAGCAAAACATCACAAAGCTGTTGTTCTGGTTGATCTGGAACTGGCTGTGGCCATCGACTTAAACCATCAGCATTTCCAATTACTCTACCTGGCTTATAAACAATATTGTAGTTGTGTGACGTGAGTATTAACGCAATTCTAGTTAACCGAGGTGACAAGATCGCTGGCATTGGCTTTTGAGGATCAACTATACCAAGCAATGACTTGTGGTCTGTAACTATTGTGAAAGGCCTTCCCATAAAATAATTGTGAAATTTAACTACCCCAAAAATGATAGCAGTGGCCTCTTTATCCAATTGGGAATAACGCCTCTCATGCGCATGTAAAGTCCTAGAGTCCATCGCAACAGGTCGCTCTGTTCCGTCCTCCATTATGTGTGATAATACAGCGCCGACGCCGTACTCAGAGCTATCACAGGTAAGAACCAATGGCTTATTAAGATCGTAATGAATAAGAGTCAACTCTGAAGAAAGTAAACGCTTGGCGGTATCGAAACTATTTTGTTCCCGGTCAGTCCATTGCCACATTTGTGACTTATCGAGTAATCTATGTAGAGGTTCAAGAATAGTTGCTTTGTGAGGTATGAACCTCTCGTAAAAGTTATAGAGGCCTAAAAATGCTTATAACTTCTGTATATTTTTAGGTTCCGGAGTTTTAAGAATCGATTCAACCTTGCTCTGAGCTGAATGAATACCATCCGCATCGATCACAAAACCTAAAAACTCCACGCGTCTTTTAGCAAATTTACATTTGTCTTTATTAAGACGCAATCCTGCTCTTTCAATGCGGTCCAGTACTATTTCAAGGCGTTGAGTCATTTCTGTCAATGTACGGCCGCTAATGATGATGTCATCAATCAGCACGGCTACACCTGGTATGCCTGCTAGCAAAGCTGTCATCAAGCGTTGAAATATTCCCGGACAGGCCTTCACGCCGAATGCCAATCTGTGTACGGTGTACAATCCTTTGCATGTATTCAAAGTTAAAAGCTTCGCTGTGGCGTCTGTGACCACCACTTGCGTATATGCTCTGTCTAAATCAAGTGTCGTGTAATAAGAACCACCTGTAATAACTGCAAAGACTTCACTAGGCGTGGGCATTGGGTACGTATCTGACTCAGTAGCTTGATTTACCGTACTTCGATAGTCTGCGCAAAGTCGTATGTCTCGATTTTTTTTACTATAGGAACTACTGGTGTCGCCCATTCTGAAAAAGATATGGGGCGAAGTACCCCCTCCCCCACTAAACGATCGATTTCCTTTTCAATCCTTTCTTTTAACGCGAAAGGCACTGGTCGAGCTTTTAAAAATTTAGGAACGGTATTAGGCTTAATTTGTACGTTTACAGGGTTCCCTCTATATGTACCAAGCCCTTCTCTGAAAACAGTATTTTATTTATTAAGTACTTTATCAATATCTGTCAAATCAATGTCAATCATATGAATAGTATTTAAAGTAATATCCAATGCTTTAAACCAGTTTCGACCTAATAGATTTGGGCCCGTGCCCTTAGCTATAACAACATTCAAATTACACTTAATGTCTTTAAATTGCACTTGTACTGTAGCCTGTCCATTACTTGTACCTGAGAGTTGTTCCACGTACGTAACTTGTTAGGCATTATGTCTAGTATTGTTCGAGGGTGTAATTGCATCCATGTGTTTTCATTCAAGATTGAGAAAGCAGATCCAGAGTCCACCTCCATGATCACAGCCAAACTGTCCAAATTATAAATGCCGTTAAGATGTGTGTCTAACTCTTGTGTATAATTTATATTGCCCTTACGGCATTTCTTTTTAGCTGAGCAAATTTTTTCAATATGTCCCTTTTTCTTGCAAAAATTACAAACAGCATTTATGAAACGACACACACCGCCATGACGATCGCCACATCGGTAACAAAATATAATATTAGTTTGCAATTTCACGGCATTGACATCAATCGGTTCGCATGATGATGATGTTACCGCTGCAGTAGTTGAAATTAAATCTCTGGAGACAGGAAAGTTAGTGCTGGTCATACTTTGCATCATCCGGACATCCCTCACTGCACTTTCATATGATAGCATGGCATCCACCACATCCGAATACTGTAAATTGTCTTTTCTTCTTCTTCTTCTTATCACTCATACCGCACACAAGTCTGTCACGAAGCATGCGTTCCAAGTCCGTAAAATTGCACCCTGCACTTATTTTTCTAATATGTGCGATATATTCTGATACTGATTCATTTTCTTTTTGATCGCGTTTATAAAATTGAAAAGACACTGAAATCTCGTTTGGTTTCGGACTATAATGCTTCGTAAGAATCGTTACAATTTCCGCGAATGTCACATCACTAGATTTTCTAGGTGTAATTAATGCCAAAACAGTCTCATATACATTTGCACTACAAACTGTGTAAAAATTCGCCCTTTGACCAGAGTGCGAGACGATTCCGTTTGCCTCAAAACAGTACTTCAGTCGTTCTATATAATTGTCCCAATTATTACTTTGTAAATGAAATTCATGAAAATTCACTGATTTACGTTCCATTGTTCCACTTTTTATACTTCGTCGCCACTTTTATATCCAATAAAACACCGTAATTTAGGTAAATACGTGTATTGTGCTAGGTAGCAAAACTAATGATAAACTGGTTGACTTAACTGACATTATTTCTTAACAACGTTATGCAAGGAACCACCTTCATAACTATTTATAACAATCTATGATATAACAATCTGCCAGTGATGCCTAATAATTTTTACTTTTATTTAAGAAAAAGAATTAGGGTTCCACGCAAAGAAAATTAAAAACCTAATGAATACGCGGGCGAAGCCGCGGGGAAGACATAGTATTATATACTTTAAGAATTTTACAACACAAGTAATTATATAAACATTGAAATATAACTTTATATTACTGTAAATAAACCAGTATTACAATAAGATTCCTTGGGTAAGGGTCATGTGACATAAATGACTTTTTATAAACAAGAACATTACATTTCAATAAGATAAAATTAATGTAGGTAAATAATGCTTCCTTTCTGAGGCAATAATAAGTCATAATTTTTTATGCCTAAGGATTTTTTATGCCTTTTTTATTGGATAAAGCTAATGTGCACACAGTCCACCTGATGGTAAGTGGCTGCTGTGGCACATAGACATCTATATCTAACCTTGATTACAAATAAAAATCCAGATGTGTTGTCACCCGTGAGGAATGAGATGGTATGCCTCATTTCCAGTAAAAAGGGTCACCGGTTCAGAACACTCATCATAGCAGCTTTAAGCCTTCAAGTATTCAGTGAGAGTGTGGTCCTTCTCTGGTCGAGCCAACACATTCATGCTACAAATATAATATAGCTGCAGCATGGCTCTACCACATAAAAATAATTACAATATTACAATGAACATGAATCTAATGGCCCTCATGTGTTAAATTAATGTTATTTAAATGGACATATTTATATATAATAGCTACTTAATAAATTAATTTTCCTCTTATTTGTTTTCATAGATTATGCGTGTCAGTAACAACAAAACAATGTTATGGATGAAACTATGAAAATTATTTATTTATTTACACTTGTATTACACCTTAATAAAATGGGATTCATCATCATCATTACAGCCCTTTACAAGCCTACTGCTGAACATATGCCTCCCCCAAGGAATGCCATAAAGCACGGTCCTGAGCCACCTGCATCCGTACCGGACGAAGTGTAGGGCGTCCCCCCACTAGATGGAATGACGACCTGGTAAAATAGGATTACAAAGAGAAATTGAAATACGTCTAAGTAATATTTCTACTAGATTAAAGTTTCAAATTCAAACATAAACACAAGCGTTACCACTACTGTTATAGCCTAATTAAGTCCACGGTTGAATATAGCCCTTCCCCATAGATTGCATGATAGGGAGATATTTGCCATAGTTGCCACGCCTGTCAAGCAAGTTGGCAATGAAGTTTATTATTTTTAGTAGTTATTAGGAAGATGCTGGTGCTCATATCCAGATCTGTTTTGATATCTCACCTCTTACGACACCCACGGAATGTTATGGGATTTTCTTATATACAGGGTAGTGGTTATTCTTACTGCAGTGTAAAGGAAACTACACTATAAAGGAAAAGGATTAATTGAAGTAAGTATAATAGCTTTAAGAAGTTAAGCCAAAGAAATGCATTTTTTAAATAGATAAATAATTCATAATTTTAAAAAAAATTATCAAAATACACCACAAGTAATTATCATTAAAAGTCATTTATGATTTTTACTAGTACTTTGTGATAGCCTCTGTCCTTTTTTTTTTTTTTTTTTTTTTTTTTTTTTTTATAGGAGAGGGGGCAAACGAGCATGCGGCTCACCTGATGGTAAGTGACTACCGCCGCCCATGAACAACCGCAACACCAGGGGAATTGCAGATGCGTTGCCGGCCTTTTAAAAAGGAGTAGGCTCTTTTCTTGAAGGTCCCTAAGTCGTATCGGTCCGGAAAAATCGCTGGTGGTAAACTATTCCACAAGGAAGTTGTGCGAGGAAGAAAACATCTTCTAAATCGCACAGTGGTGGACCGCCAATCATCCAGATGGTGTGGATGGTATCGGGAGTTCTGCCGCGATGTGCGTTCGTGAAATTTGGCGGCTGGGATTAATCCGAACAATTCCTCAGAGCACTCCCCATGGTAGATGCGAAAGAAAATGCAAAGAGATGCAACATCTCTTCGCAGTGCCAATGAATCGAGCCGATCGGAAAGGGCTCGGTCGTCGACGATTCGAGCCGCTCTGCGCTGGATGCGGTCAAGTGGAAGGAGCTGGCACTGGGGAGCCCCTGCCCAGAGATGGGAACAGTATTCCATGTGAGGCCGAACCTGCGCCTTGTAAAGTTGCAGGCGGTGTGCCGGCATGAAATACTGTCCCGCTCTGCTGAGCACGCCAAGCTTTTTAGAGGCCAATTTGGCCTTCTCTTCCAAGTGACCACGAAACTGCACGTCACTCGATATGTCGACTCCGAGGATACCGATACTGGCTGAGGCAAGAAGGGGAGTGCCTTGAAACTGAGGAGATACGACAAAGGGGTTCTTTTTAGCGGTAAACGCGCAAACTTGTGTCTTCTGAGGATTAAACTGGACTAGATTTAGTCGCCCCCAATCCGAGACTTTGTCCAGCAAAGACTCGACTTCAGACACAAGTTTGTTCCGGTACTCGGCGACGTTTTCCCGAGAAATATTGGCCCGGCCGGTGTATAGAGCATCACCAGTGCTGTCATCCGCATAGCAATGAATGTTACCAGTTAGCAACATATCATTGATATGCAGAAGAAACAGCGTTGGTGATAGCACACAGCCTTGTGGAACACCAGCGTTAATAGGCTTGTAGTCAGAACATGCACCGTCTACAACGACCTTGATGCTCCGATCTGCAAGAAAGCTGGTGATCCAATTGCACAATTTCTCGGGAAGCCCATAGGAAGGCAGCTTTGAAAGAAGCGCTTTGTGCCAAACCCGATCAAAGGCCTTCGCAATGTCCAGACTAACGGCCAACGCCTCCCCCTTGGACTCTACTGCCTCCGCCCATCTATGGGTCAGGTAGACCAGAAGATCACCAGCTGATCGACCCCGACGAAAACCGTATTGGCGGTCACTAATCAGCTGGTGATCCTCAAGGTACCGGATGAGCTGGCAGTTAATAATGGATTCCATTATTTTGGAGAACAAGGAGGTGATCGCGATAGGCCTATAGTTGGACGGGTCTGAGCGGTCGCCTTTTTTTGGGATCGGGTGGACAAAAGCTGTCTTCCATGAATTCGGGACTACGCCTTGGGAGTAGGAGTACCGGAAAAGACGCGTTAGGACCGGTGCCAACTTCGGAGCACACGTCCTCAGCACAATTGGGGGGATTCCGTCAGGCCCACTCGACTTCTGGATGTCCAGGGAGAGAAGTGCTTTGCGAACTGAGCGCTGTGAGAATAGCACATCCGGCATGGAGCACTCACACCGCGGGATGGTCGGCGGTATTTTCCCCCCGTCATCAAGAGTAGAACTGGGAAGAACCACCAAGAAATGAAGATACCCAAACAGACCTTCAAGAATATTGTAGGAGTATGACATCAGTTGGTCAACTTGTTGAGAAGTAGCATTAACCATTAAGAGATTCACCAATGTCTATAGCATACAATATAGATATAGAACCTATGTAAAAGCCATATGGCTGGAATAGACCTCAATATCTCTTATTCCAATATTGCTCCATTTACTTTATGTGTTTAGTTTCATTAGCCTTATATTTGATTTTCTTTTCCTTTCATTTAGACAATGTCCACAGCCAACTGTGCTAGTCCACATGCAACTGTGCTAGTCCTACAGCTCATATTATTTACAGGGAAGTTATATTGTACGTGGTAGAGCCATGCTGCAGCTATATTATGGTTGTAGCACGAATGGGTCGGCTCGACCGGGGAAGGACCACGCTCTCACAGAAAACCAGCGTAAAATAGCAGCTTAACGCTGCTGTGTTTCGTATGGTGAGTGTAGAGCACCGGAGACCCTTTTTACTGGCAAAGAGGCATTCCATCTTAGTCCTCACGGGTGACAACGCATCTGCATCTTGAGTCTTTATTGAGGATAGATGTAGATGTCTATGGGTCACAGTAACTACTTACCATCAGGTGGACTGTGTGCTCGTTTGTCACCCGATCCTATAAAAAAAAAAAAAAAAAATAATATTGTATATGTTTTTTTTAATTATTTTAGAGGGGGCAAAAGAGCATACGGCTCACCTGATGGCAAGTGATTACCGCCACCCATGAACAACTGCAACACCAGGGGAATTACAGTTGCGTTGCAGGCCTTTAAAAAAGGAGTACGCTCTTTTCTTGAAGGTCCCTAAGTCGTATCGGCTCAGAAAAATTTCTGGTGGTAGTCGATTCCACAAGGAAGTTGTGCACGGAAGAAAACTTCTTTTAAATTGCAGTGGTAGACCGCCAGTCATTCAGATAGTATGGATGGTATCGTGAGTTTTGCTGTGATGTGGGATAGTGAAATTGTGCAGCTGGATATAGTCCTAACAATTCCTCAGAGCACTCCCAGTGGTAAATACGATAAAATACGCAAAGAGATGCAACATCTCTTCACAGTGCCAGTGGGTCAAGCCTATCGGAAAGAGTTCAGTCCCCAATGATTCAAACAGCTCTTAGCTCTAAAGAAACTTGTTATTAAATTATTTCAGGGCTCTTCATAATGACATAAATAATCAAAATGAAGCATATTATATTAATATTAGTTTAGATACAAATCAGTTTTCATTTCCCATAAAAAAAGCATTAGTAAATATAAATATAATGTGCAAGTGCAACTTGTGTAGTTTCCTTATTACTATTGCATTGCACTTAGTACATATTAGTACTGTATCATTAATGGTTACTAATGTTTTTTTCATAATACTGCCTTTTAGAAGCTCTGTGTCTAATTTGTACAAGTTTATGTATTAAAAAAGTTGTATACTTTAACAGTAATAAAATATATTGTTACTTACTTGGATTAATAAGATTAGCGCTCTTATACTCAACGCGGGGGTCTTCGAAGGCCTTTGTATGTGCGGGATTTAGAAAGGCTAGCTGTGGCGGAGTTTTATCCACCACGCGCAACTCGCTCACCAAGTCGTTGGTTATTAAATAATCCACCAGGTTACGACCGATGAAGCCGCACCCTGAAGCAAATCACGTAATCAGAATAATAAAAAACACTAAGGTTACCTGATGACTAACACTTTCAAAAGACCGTTAATATTCGATTTAAAAAATACAAGCAAAAAAGTAAGAAGACTCTCAGTGATTTGTCTTTTTTTGACTAACGTATTTCACAGGATTGTACAGTAAAGAAATAGTTAATTTACCTCCTAAAACTACAACTCTCGGTTTTATTTTACCGGCGCAATCAGACATTTCGATAGCAATTTCCCCGTATCACGGATGTGAATGACAGATTGACACATTGACAGTTTAGGTTGACAGCGAAGTTTGACATTTACAAAAATGACAATTGACATTGCCAATTAATTTATTTTTAAATTTATTACATGGCCATGAATACACAGTCCTTCAGTTAAGATAGCTATATACATAACTATGATTATTAATAACTATGATTAGAAAAAAGGGCAATCCAAAAGAAAGCATCAGCTTAGATTCGGAGTCAACTTCAACAAAATGTCGCCGAGAAACAAATAGATGCCTCATTTTCTGCTAAGGGGCCTTAATGCTTCTGTCATGCTAGACAATGAATCGTTCATTTTTCATATGAAGAGTTCTTTGACCCTGAGCTTTAATTACTGTTCTCGGCCCTGAGTGCTATGCATAAATAAATAAATATGTAGCAAGCTAGTGTTATGTGACAGTTTTGATTGTTATACATGCACATACCCATTACATCTAGATTAAAATGCACTATGGTACGAGTGTGAAAAAGTCACCGATATTTTTTTCTGCCTTAATTGCCATGCCCACATTTATCCTGCCTTCAGATGTTGACCTACTATCAAAATTTGATAAATCTTGGCCAAGCAAATGATCGTAAAATGTCATTGTCATTGTCATTACAGCCCTTCACAAGTCCACTGCTGAACATAGGCCTATATCTTGATATATATATAGATCGTAAAATATAGCTCCTGTTTTCGTGAGGTATTTGAAGTTTCACCGAGTGTGGTGTGTTGTGTTGTGAGAACTTGCTAGAAATAAAAATCAAAAGTGTATTTTATAATGAGCGGTTACAGAATTATTGGCTGTAATAGGTGTAGTTAAAAAAAAACAAGATGAAATATCATTTCACTCGTAAGTAAGCATTGCGGTATTTTATAAAATTCTTTGAATATTCTGACAATTTTAATTCTAATTAATTTATCACTAATAAGTCCTACTTTAGGCAGTACTTAGTAGTTCAAAACCAATTTCATTAAAAAGCATCTAACTTATTCTTAAACAGAGCATAATGTAGTGTTACCAGTTAGACAAACCGCCGATAAATAATTACGTATGTATGATTTACATGTTTGCAGCTGACAATGATGTACGAAAAATATGGATTGATGTTTTCAGACTTTAAAATTGGCTAACCCCTAGCACTTCTTATTAGTTTGTGGCTAACATCAATACTATAGACTTTGATTATATCATAGACTTAGAATATACTGGGGTATAGACAACCTGACAGCCCGAAAACGAGTGACTAGTCATTGTGTGCGTTAAATAGTGAAGTATATTTTACCCTTAGACAGAGAGAATGGACTGTGCGTTCCCGTATTCAGCTGTGCAGTGAATACCGACCGAAAAGTCCCAGAGAAACAAACCGGATGTGTGGTCAGTAGTTGTCTCTTTCTAGAATTCTGAGTGGTCCACGTCACTAGCTAGCAGGACATGGACCAATCATGCTTGCAGGAAAGAGACATCTACTGACCATGCATTCGTTTTGTCTTTTTCTAGAGAATGGTCACTTTTGTGAGGCTAACGCTCAGTCCATTCTATCTATGTCTATGACTTTACCTTTAAGGACTTTCGATAAAAGGTTTCAGTGTGATCACAATACTGCAATTGAAAGTGCGAAGGGAGCGGTAAAAAGGTTCAACAAAATTTGTGCAGTATAGGAAACTGAATAACTTCAAAAATTAACTGATTTTTTACCATGACAGTTTATTAAAAGACAGCTTACTTAAGAACAGCATCATACTTCATGCTTACAATATAATAGCTATTTTCAGAGCTGACTTTTCTGTGTTTCACGAGACGTCGAGGGTAGCTACAGTAATCCCCCTCAAGTGAGACCTGATAGCAACTTGACAAAGCGTTTTGTTCGGGTTTGCTTGAGAGTAAGTTGTGGTGTCAAGTTGTTCGATGGTTCTGGTAAACTGGTAATCTGGTTGTTATGGTATGGTTTGGTAAGGTTGGTTGTTATTGTCCTCGAAATCTTCTAATACATATGCAGGCTTCAGTCGGTCGATTGATATGTTTGTTTGACGATCAGGTAATTGTATTGTAAATACTTTATCTTTTCGTTCGACAACACGATAGGGGCCTTCATATGGTGTTTGAAGTGGAAGTAAGAAATATTACGTCGACTCGTATAAACACGTGACTACATGTTTGTAGGTCTTTTAGCGGGAAAAAGCTGAACCAATCTCTGGGGAGGTGAGTCTACCCATAAAATTTCGCATGCAAGTGATGCGAGAGGGTACTGTCAATTATCATATCAACATAATGTTAATAAAATATAAATAGGTAGCTACTTGTATAAAAAAATAAAACAGTCATGTACTACTCCATGTCTCCGTTTTTATTAACCAGGAAACATTTTAAAAATATTTTTTTAACAAATTAATTACAATTACCGTTTGGCCTTTAAACAAAATCATCTTATTTAGCTGGTTCCAACAAATTTCCTTTCAACTAGTTCGATAAAATGTAAGAAAACCAAAGTATTACAGTCTTTACCCAAGTATGTAATTTAATATCGCCTTAATTCAATTTGGTATTTAGTTTAGCATTAATATAATATAACTGTTTATGCCCAAATTTGGTCATTTTTGAACGCCATCCAATTGCGTTCGAGCTGGCGCCTCACCCGATGGTATGTAGGTGATGTAAACGCCGAGGTGGGGCGGCCGTGTGCAGCTTGCAGTGGCTCGACGCGTGGGCGAAGAGGTGAGAGTTGCCCGCTGACCACGATGCGGGGAACCCGCGTAGCTCGTTTATCGCGGCCGAAGTTCACGCGACTGTTGTAGGGTTCAGATAGTTAGATTAAGTGCGTGTTACTTCGTTACGTGGATATGTGAATTTTGCAATATTTAACTTGTTCGGGGATGCGGAATTGTGCACGCGCGTCGAGTAGATATACGGTTTAGGATTCGAACCGCAAATTCCTTGTTCGAGAGCTTCTCCCGGTTGATTGTCAGGAAATCATTATAATTGTGACGTCGCGTTAAGTGCCCTTTTTTGTGTGTTGGTTGGCTTGTTAGTTTACGTGTCAACAAGGCGTATTTTGAATTCTTTTCGCGACGTGGTGTTTTGGTGTCGAATGATGGAACTTAGTTGTGTTTAACGCTGAACCGTATGACTCATTCAGAGATCGCTTTAATTCCCTATTTATAATTTTGTGATAAGTGAATCCGGGACATTGAATGTCGAATTTTGAACTACTGTCCTTACTGTGTCGGGTATCACGTGTTCGATTCTACGATGAATGTGTAATTAGGCGGGTTTAAGTTAGTTAAATGTACAATGAAGCTAATAGACTGAAATAGTGACAATGAAGAAAGAAATGGTCCAGCGGTGGAGCCTGCTGGAGCGATGCAGCATTTTGGGGTAGCTTGGAACTCGGCCGCTGCTGGTCGCCTACGCTGGTCCAGGTCTCAGACATTTACACATCACTAAACACTACTTGCCATGCACCTCACACCCACTTACGGCCTGACCGAGTCTTGGGGCGATCTAAGAGTAGGAAACAGGTAAGTACTATATTTTCCTAACATTCTCCCATATGGTTTAGTATTATAGGACATTCTTCCATGTGGCCAATCGGGCCCGACCTGCGTCTGCCCGTCGAGTAAGCTGCTATGGGCCCTAGCCAAGACGACATTTGCATGGGCAGCTGTAGGTCATAACAATAACTTTAAGTACAAAAACTTTATTGTTAATTATTACAGATAAATTTTGTGGAAAAAGTTTCTTCGTATTCTGTTTGTTTAAAATTGAAGAAAAATCTCTTTGGTTGTATTGTTTATATCTGGCTACTCCATGCGAACGACCTTGAGCATTCGGTCCGCCGACTCGCTACAATATATCGCGTAAGAAATATGCAAGACGCCACCTACTGTACGAACGTACTATTATTTTTCAACATCAATAAACTATTTTATGGAAATACACACGGCGTACAACGATAAATGTATTTTAATTTTTTTATTCGGTATATTAGGTGCATTATATTAGAATTATGTATTCTCATATATTATCTAATTATGAAATTTTATAATTAATTATATATTAAAAATGAAGCATTGAAAATTGTGAGTTTTTAAGATACCTACTCACTATAGGTAAATAAATAGATAGCTCGCCTTTTGTACAAATATTTGGTGCAATAAAGAATAAATAAATAAATAGGATGTTTCGCAGATGTGTTTTTGATTATTCTTAATTTTTACGTGTCACATATTGAAAACAAACATACCTACCTACTAATTTTTGAACTGAGCACCTTGTAACTTTGCCTGCTTATTACTTATGCTGGCTGATATTATCCTCACACCAATGATTGATGAGGATGAAAAAAAACATGTTTATTTTTATTTTATTTAATTTTATTTCTACACTCGTAATTATATTTATTTATACATAGGGGTAACTTTAATAAAGGTAATACAAAAATCACCAATAAGTATAACGGTTACAGGTAAAGTGACCATACGTCCCGTTTTGAACGGGACTGTCCCTTTTCTCGGTCACCTGTCCCATTGTCCCCAAACAAAGCTCCGGGGCACAAAATTGTCCCGTAACTCGTTAGATAGAAGTATTTAAAGTCTTTCGCACCAACAATATTCAACATATTTTTTTTTATTCGAATATATTTTATGTCTACCTGGTACAAATGCTCCAGTAGAAAGAGTATTTTTCTACTTTGAATAAATTGTGGACGTCTGAAAAAAACACTTACGGTTCCAGTTCTAAAGGCGTTGTTGTTAACAAAGGTAACAATAAAAAAAACTTGCCCAGAATTATTCTTATTTAAAATCATCACCAACTTTATTCCACTGACAAATGAAAGCAAATTTGTTCCACTGACAAATGTAATTAATAATTTTAAAAAATATGATGCATTTAATAATTACCGTCTATACCGAATATAATTTTTAACAGTGGTAGAGCCACGCGGCAGCTTTTGCTGTCGCATGGATGGGCCGGCTCGAACCGGGGTGGTACCACGACC